TGCCAGCTGAGATGACTGAGGTCGAAGATGAAGTTTCTGGTTGGGGTGGGAATGAAAGCAGGGCTGGCGTCACAGAGCCGTTCATGGCCTGACAGCCGGTGGCTAGGGTGGCGTTGGGGCCAGAGTAGGGCTTGTCCTGTCAAATGGAGGGACTCGGGCACCATCCACAGAGCTCTGGAGTGTGGAGAGCAGGGACAGGTTCTTCTGGGGACACTTTTGTCCCCCTCACGTAGTGGACTCCCACCGGACATTGGCCTCGGCTTGAATGGCTCTTCCTCCGCCAGGAAACCTGCCTGAGCCTTGTCCAGGTTGGGTCAGGTGTCCCCCTCTGGCTCCTGTAACACCCAGGTCCTTCCTCTCTTAGCCTGGGTCCCACTGTATTGCCACTGGCCACCCCGTGTTTACCGTCATTTTTTTTCTTTCTTCCAGTTATATTAAGATATAATTGACATAAACACTGGATAAGTTTAAGGTGTACAAGATAATAACTTGACATATATTGAAAATGATTACTACAGTAAGTTTAGTTAACATCCATCATCTTATATAGTTACAGTTTTTTTCCTTGTGATGAGAATTTTTTAGGATTTACTACTCTTAGTAACTTTTTTTCTCATTCTATTTTATTTTTATTAAATATATTGGGGTGACATTAGTTAGTAAAATTATATTGGTTTCAAGTGTACAATTCTATGCTACATCATCTATATAGGTATTGCATTGTGTGTTCACCACCCAGAGTCAGTTCTCCTTCCATCACCATATATTTGACCCCCTTTACCCTCTTCTACCACCCGTTATCCCCTTACCCTCTGGTAACCACTAACATGTCTGTGTCTGTGAGTTTTTGTTTGTCTTGTTCATTTGTTGCTTTCAGTTTTATATCCCACATATGAGTGGATATGAGCAACTTTCAAATGTGCCAGCTACAGTTAATAACTATCGCGTTGTACATTACATTCCCAGTACTCATAACTGGAAGTCAAAAGGTACACACTTCCAGTTATAAGGCAAGCACGTTTGATGTGTTTCAGTGAAAACATACGAGTGGCTTAAGGCCCAACAGACCTAGAGCTGAAAACTAATTCCACCACTACCTTGCAGTGAAGTTTGAGCAAATTTCTGAAGCTCTCTGGTCCTTGGTTTAGCCATCTTGTGGAGAATTAGCTATCTTTACACAACTGACCAGTAGGCAGCAAAATCTCCCTTCTCTAATATTCCCCCACCATGTTACAATATTCCCGAGACCTACAGATCCGTTCAGGAGTGAGCGTGGGACCCATGGCTGCCCAATGGGCTGATGGGCGCTTTCTCCTGGAGGGGTTGGTATCAGAAAAGTTTCCTTCCCCATAAAAAAAAGACCCAGGAAGAGATGGTCCTTTCTGTCCCTGGACATTCCCCTATCTGGAGGTGAAGGCTGGATCTGGGACAGTCATCTGGGGACCAGCCTGAGACGGAGGCCAACACTGAGGATGGCAGAGTGTGGACATAGAAGAGACCTGGGCTCTTGATACCATCCCTGATAACACCGATAACCACCTTGCCTGGAATTCACCCTACCACTGGAATGCTTGTTATATGAGATTATAATTTAGTCTGAATCATAGTCTGAATCAAGGTTTTTGTTGTTTAAAGCCAAAAGCATTTTAACTCACACAATAAACAATGTAGATTTTTCTGAGGGAGGTAATGGAATAGAGGATTCCATTCTGCCCCTTACAAGCCGTGTCATCTTGGACAAAGGATTAATCCTTTCGGTGCCTCAGTTTCCTCATCTGTGAAGTGACAGTAACTGTACTCACTTCACAGAATTGCTTTAAATAAGGTAATGCATGTCAACCCCCGTGTTTGCCTTCAATCTCTTGGTTTTTTGTTTTTGTTTTTTTAACTTTTCCTCACCTGCCTGAGAGCTCCATGAGAGCAGAGAGGGGCCTTCCTCATCTCCGTGGCCCCAGCGCCTCACCTGCTACAGAGCAGGAAACTCCACTGAGGGGAGCAGCACACCTGTCTTCATCCTCTCCTCCTCAACTTGGGTGCCTGGGGCGTGGGGCACTGTGGCATTGGGGGACCTTGAGCAGGTTACACGGCCTCAGTTTCCCCAGAACCAGTGCTGCTTAGACCATATCTAGGGAGGTGTCCATCACAGCAGAGAGAGGAGAATGTCCTGTCTGGGCAGTTGAGGGAGGCAAGTGGAAAACCATTGTATCAGTGGCTCTGAGACTGTCTGGGCTTGACTCCTGCCCCTGATGTGCGTGAGCCAGGTGGTTCTGGCAAGTTACTTAACCTCTGGGTGCCTCAGTGTTCACATCTGTAAAATGGTAATAATGGTGCCTACCTCGAAGCGGTGTTGGCAGGACTATGAAAGTAAACATGGGCAAAGCACTTAGAGCAGTGGGTGGCACCCAGCAAACCCTGCATTAAGTGTTTGCTGATACCTGATCTTAATTCAAGCAGCATATTCCTGCTGCTCTGGGTTTGTTTGTTTTTTTCACTGATGTAACCATGATGTTAACTTGGTTACTGTGATGTTTGCCAGGTTTCTCAATGTAAAAAATATATATATATATATATATATATATATATATATATATATTTTTTTTTTAACCCTTTCTCCACGTCCTTTCTTTGGAAGGGTATATCACTAGGTCCAGTTCACACTGGACCAGTAGGGACATAAGCTTCACCTACATGGATTACTCGGAATTCTTTTGTAAGGAAGATTTGTCTAGTCTCCCCATTTACTTATTTCTTCCATCAGTATTTCTATCAGTATAGACTCATGGGTATTCATGTTCTACTTTGGGTTATAATCTAATTCTAGGTTACTTGTTGTTCAACCTGGTCTAGGTTTGGCCATGTGGGGTCTGGTTCAAGTTGGCTCCTGCGTCTGACATCCCCTCATCTGTTTATTTTTGGAGCATTTCCTTCCTCTCTAGCACTCCAAGATGCTCCAGGCTCATCTTGTATTTTCCCTCCCTCAGGCCGGGAACCAGTCATTTCCCTAAGGAGCCCTGGTTCCTTTTAATGAGAGAGTGGTGTTTAGGAACCAAAAGCTGGGTGCTGGGTGTGCTCATTGCTACCGGGGTGTCTCTGCTTCTAGGCCCTCTAGGGGGCAGAGCTGGGTTTGCTTTAATTGAAAAAAAAAAAATTTACGTTTCCCCTCATGCCAATTGTGGGGGGGCTCCAGACAGCTGGCCACCAGCCTTTGAACGCAGGCCCCAGTCTGCAGCCCACAGCCTGAGCAATCTCATATGCCCTCAGAGGGCCTTTATGCCTCCTGGGGCTCCAGGGGAGAGAGCACATGAGGTCGCCTCTCCCTGTACTGGGTCACCTCCCTCTACACGGAGCCACTTCCTGTGTGCACGCCTGATCAGCAGTGGGGGCCTTCAGTAGCTGAGTTGCTTTGGGAATGGGACTCAGGCCTGGCCTCAGGTGCCCCTGCAGCCCAGGCTGCTGTGGGATTGCAGGCTTGCTCCCTACTGGACGGACAGCTCTGTCACTGGTGGTGGCAGTAGCCATAGCCCAGTAACAGAGTCATGGTCCCACCCAGGGTAGGCAGGACAAGGGTCAGGTCCCGGAAGGCCTGACTCAGCCACATGCCCAGCACGCCCAGGTGGCCCAGTGCTAACGGAAGGAAGGCCTGGCAAGGCGGTCCCTGCGTTTCTTTACCTTTCCCAACCCCAGCCCCACCCTATGCTGCAGGACTCACTGATGCTCAGTGGACCAGGACCAAGAGCTGGCTCCCCATGGAGGCAGCTCTGCTGCAGCGGCAGGGAGTCGGGGTAGAGTCCCAGACCAGGCTTGAGATCCCAAGGCAAGCAAAGGGCGTTTCCAACTTTGCCAGAATGTCTCCTGTCTCCCCACAGCTCCAGGATGGAAGTCAGGAGGCCTGGAACTCGGACCTGCCTCTACCAGTGACTTCACTTCCATCTGGGGGACATCAATCGTGCCTCATTCTGCTTAAAATCTTCAGTGGCTCCCCACTGCCCTCAGCTTAAAAGCCCCGCTCCTGGATTTGCCTTATAAGGCCTGGAGAACTCTTCAGCACCCCACATCCCGCCCTAATAATACCAATTTGCTTGTGGTTCCCCCTTGCACAACCACACGGTTTTACATCTCCATAATTGACTCTGCCTGCATCACCCTCTCCCACTGCTTCACTGGTTAATTCCTAGTTGTCCCTGAGGTCTCCGTTCTGGGGGCACCTCCTCCAGGAAGCCTTCCTCCCGTGCTCCAGATTATGTCTGCTCACCTGGTCGAGTCCTTTGTTACCTGTGTGCCACACCTTCCTAAGGTGTGAACTACCTCTGGCATGCAGGGCAGAAACCTGGTATAGTGGAGAAGGCTCTGGGTTTGAAATCAGGACTCTGGCTTCCCTCAGGGCCTCTGTTCCTTCCTGCTGTGTGACTTAGAGCAAGTCATTGCACATCTCTGAGCCTTAATTTCCTCATCTATGAGAAAAGCATCTAATTGGGATTCCTAGCCCTGCTTTCAATTCTGGCCTCTGCCTCCAACTTGTTGTGGGGCCTTGGGCAAGCCCTGTCGCTGGACCCAGCCTCCGTTTTCCTTTTCCGTAAAATGGGTGGAAGACCCATAAAACTCAAAGGGCTGAGGCTCCAACAAGCCAAAACTTGTAAAACGCTTTTGTAAACCTCAGAGCTCAACATGGACGGTCGAAGACTGTATTTCAACAGTTCCGTGGAGACGTGTAGGAGGGAGGCGGATGGCTCTCTCACCGTTTTCCTGCCTCCCCGCCCTCCAGAAGTCTTGAGATCAAAGGTGACGGAGGCCTGTTGGCATGGAGGCCCGGCTGGGCTAGGCCTGCTCCCTGGCCTCCTGGCCTCCTGCCACCCACACCCACTCCCAGGGTTACACGCATGCGTGCCTTGCGAAAGAAGCTCTGTTTAAACACTCGGGGTTGGGGGTGAGCCCTACACCCCCTCACTTCCAACACAGAAGACCTTTCTACCCCACTGTCCCTCCAAAGATTCAAAACCAAGTTCAGTCTGAACCATCTGCAACTTTATTCCAGAGCAGAAATAAGTCATTTCCTAACAATAAATATAAAAAAAATAATAAATTAAGGTTGAAAAAAACAATACCCAACAAAACAAAATCGTTAACACTGATGGAATAATGAATGTTGTCTAAAGGGGCAAGATATGGGTGGACTTGCTTCCAGCCTGGGAATGTCTGACACAGGCCGTCCTCTGCCCCAAGCCCTGGCCAGGCCCCCTGCCACACACACATTCTCTCCACAAAGTACAAAATATATATTTTAAAAACCTCAACACAACCAAGCAGCTTGCGAGGGCCCCAGGGAAGCAAGAGTTTGGCCCACTGGGGCTGAGGACAGGGCCCGGGGGTCTGAGGAAGGCACAAAAGGTTTGGGGGAACCACTTTGGGTCTCTACAGCTGAGTTCACCATCTGTCCTCTTCTCGAGAGTGGATGGGGCTTGAAGTACCCTGTTCCCTTGGCCACCGGGTAACCCCCCCACCTCCTAAGACAGCGAAAGGGAGGTCAGTTTGGAAATGTCCCACTGGTTTGTCCAAAGGCTTTGGCGGGGCTCCTGCCCCATGGGATGCTGAGAACATGGTGGTGCCTGCTAAGTGCTTGGCTGGCTGTCCTTCGTAGGTAAAGAGGCCCCCCAGCCTGGGGTCCCTGAGCATCTCAGTTTAGGTCAAGGTGTCGTCCAAGACCCCCCCAAGCAGAGGCCTCAAGGTGGCATCAATGAGGGACAATTAGAAATAAATAAGGTCTTTGGTGGCCAGGCGCGGAGCTGGCAAGTAGGCCACTCTGTTTCTTCAAGTATTCTTGGCCAAAGGGGGCACAAGGCCATGTTGGGACTCAGATGGGGATCCCCACTGTGTTCACCTGGTCCTTGAGTCCTAACAGGCTATAGGCGATGCGCTTCTGGTGGCCAGGCAGCCGTACCCCGATCCTCTTGATGTCACTGTGGGTGGGAAGAGACAGGGGGAGTTAGAAGCTGGCATGAGAGAGGATGGAGGAGGAAGTGGGGAGGAGAGAGAACTGGGAGGGGGGACCTTGGGGACCTAATGGGGCAAGACAGCTCCACTTAGGTAGAGGCCTGACATGAAGATCCACATCCTGAAAGCTTGCTAACTTTGACAAAGTTAAGAAAATGATAGAAGTGTTGACTCTGTAACTTTTTTTTTTTATTCCCCCTCCAAATCACATTTACAGGATTACCTGTGAGGCAGGTGCCCTTTTCACCCTCACTTTGCAGATTGGAAAACTGAGGCTCAGAGAGGTGAAGTGACTTGCCCACAGTCACACAGCTAGGAGGTGGGAGAGCTGGGAATCAAACTAGTTGTGAACGTTGCATTCCCTCTCCCACCTCAGGTCTGTCCCTAATGTCCCCATCTAAGACCTCCTCTGTAGGCAGCACTGATGCCATCACCAGGGACAGGGACCCTCTAAGGGTGTTGCTCACAGCCCTCCATCCAAGGTGGCTTTCTACCCATCACCTTACGTCAGCCCCCACTCCCTCCAAGTTTCCACGGCTGCTAACTGAGGAAGGGCTCAGGAAATACTTGTTGAGGGACCATCAAGGGTTAAAGCTCTGCTCTCATGGGAGGGGCTTGCAGGTCACCTGAGGCAGGTGTATTCCCTTTAGGAACCTCAATTTCTTCACCTGTAAAATGGGACAATAGTGCCCAACTGGAGAGGGTGGGAGACCTCAGAAACTGGGGCAGAGCGGGAAAGAGGCCTCAGTACATCAGTACCAGATAAAAAGATGCGCCCAGGAGCCCAGTCCTGCTGCCCCTCTTTCCACGCCCCTTCATCCCTTGGTAGAACCAATAACCACTTATGCTCCCAAAGCCCTGGAGCAGGATGGTTATTGCTCACTCTGGGAATTTTCTCCTCCGCCATCCTCACCCACCAGCCCCAACCCATGAAAACACCCAGGTTTTTATGGGCCGGCTCCTGGCTGCAAATGGAGCTAATTATACAGTGCAAGCTCCTATTTGTAATTCCGAAGACATGACTTTCTCACAGGCTCTGGGAACCCTTGGAGAAGTGCTGAGCAGGGAGGCAGACCCAGGTGGGTGGGGAGGGTGGCTCAGGGACCTCCAGGAGGGGCTGGCGGCTCCCACTATAGCAGGAAGGTCAGGAGTTGGACAAACATCTGGTAGAACTTCCTAACCACCCGCTCCAACGCCATTTCTTTCTTTCTTTTTTTTTTTTAATTTAAAAAAATTTTTTATTGGGGAACAGCCATGGTCATTGGTTACACATTGTTTTTATGCTACAATGGCAAAGTTGACTCTTTTAAGGAGGGTGCAGCTCACAGTGGCCCATGCAGGGATCAAACCGGCAACCTTGGTGTTATCAGCACCACGCTCTACCCAACTGAGCTTACTGGTCGCCCCCTCCAGCACCATTTCTAATCTGTATGGTTGGGGGTGTTGGAAAAAAAGCATGGTTTTCCCCACCCCTGTAGGTCTCACAGTGTGGCTCCCAGAGATGCATTTGCACCACCCGGGAAGGAGGCACCTAGTGAAAAGGCAGGATCCCGGGCCCACCTCCAGACTCTCTGACCTTGAAGTTCTGAATGTGGGGGGAGTTTGCATTTTATTAGGTTTAAGAACCAGTGGGTTATGTGAGCTATAGGAGGGCCATGGCTGAGACCTGGTCCCCTGGCCCATCCCCTCACCCCTATCCCCACTGGGAGTCTAGGGCAGGCCTGGTACACAGTAGGTCCTCAAGGAGTGTGTGCTGAATGATGAATGAATGAATGAATGAATGAATGAATGCTTTAGTGGAGACTGAGCCATTGCCCAGGCCACCTTGGGGCTGTCTCCCAGACCAGTGTAGGAGCTAAGGTTGCTTCTGAGGCCTGTCTAGGAGGCAAAAGCCCTGGTCTCGGAGGCAGGAGGCTGAATTCTAGTCCTGGACTCCATCAAAGCCTTGGGTGGGTCCTGTCCTGTCTTCAGGCCTCAGTTTCTATGTAAAACGGGAAGCTTTGATTCGATGCCCCTGAGCCACCTGCCCCAGCCGTATTCTCTTTCAACACAAAGCCCCCCAAACCTTCCTTGTCTCATTTCTTAACCACAGAGACACACCAGCCTGTTTCCCCCTTGGGGATACAGGGCAGTCACTCCCATCATGGGGGTGAGGAGACACATACGTGGAAGAGGCCACCTTTTCCCTAAGCACTCACAATGCCAGTCCTGGCTCTGGGGAACTCAAAGGCCACCATTTCCCCAGGGAGTACCTACTATGCGCTGCCCTGGGCAGAAGGAAATGGCCTCACATTTCTGTTCATTCATTCATTCACTCAGCAAACAGGCCATCAGTGCAAAGCCTATGCTGAAGGCATGAGGAGACCATAAGGCCCATCAGCCTGTGTCCCCCACACCCCTCCTAGGACGCTGTATACAGCAGCCTCGGACACCAGACAGGGTCTTTGGATAGGCTGGACATTTTTCTGGGGTACAACATCTAGCACTTTCCTTAGCTCCTCAAAGCCATTTAGAACCTCTAGTCTAGCTAGAAACCCCGTGACTCCAAAATGACAAAGAGATGAAGGCTCAAGCCGAGAAAAGGTGGGCGCTGTGGGACCACAGGGGCACATGCAGCCAGCCCCTTTGGGAGGCTTCAAGGAGGCAGGGAGGCCAAGGTCAGGTGGGGGAAGGAGGAACTTGAAGTTTAAATTCCCATCCCAACGAGAAAGCGCTAAATTCTCCTGAGACCAGCTCAGAGCCTCCCAGGGATCCACGGCATGTGTAGACACAGCCTTCAGGCTGAAAAAGTACTTGGAGATCCCCATTTATCTCGTTTATTTGAAATAAAGAAGGAGGCAGAGATGGTGTGAGTCACGCAGGCCCCGGCTCGGAGTACCAGCCGGCGGGTAGGAGGCGGGAGCGGGGAATGACTTCCTGCCTTTCTCCAGGCCTTTTCAAAACACAACACACACACGCACACACACACAGCCTCCATCAATCCAGGACAGCCCTGTCCCTGCTCGTGGGAAAGGAATTGTCCGAGAAGCACCCCGGGCTATTTTGGGAAGCCTTTGAGAACATGTGTTTCCTGTAAGCTCTTCTCCCTGCCCTCAGCTTTGCTCACCCAGAAGAGAAGCTGCACTGTCCTCAGGGGGAGCCCCTGGAGGAGCAAAGGGGGCTGTTCCAGGCTCCCAGGGAAAAGGAGGGGGCCCATGAACCCTGGTGTTTGCTGTGGGCTGTGGGCGGAAAGCAAGGGAATCGACGATTAAGCCCTATGTACCAGCCGTGTCACCTGTACTGTACCCAAGCAATCCCGGCAACGGGAAATGGAAACCAAAGCTCAAAGATGGAACCTAATTTGACCAAGGTCACCTGCTAGAAAGTGGCAAAGGTGGGACTCGAACCCAGGTGTGACTGCAGAGCCCAAGCTTGGGACCCTGCAGCTGGCTGGCAACAGAAGAGATCCCGGGACCTGTTTACTCAATCCACATCTCCAAGCCTCCCTCCGGTCAGCTCTGTCCCTGCCTGACTCCCATCCCCATCCGTCCCCTGGGACGGGCCATGCTCTTGTCTGAGAGGCCTTGATTAGTAGATGGAAGCCCAGCTGAGCGGTTTCCAGAGGCCCCAGAGAATGTTCATGTACAGGCCCCAATCCCAGAGCTTCTGTGACCTAGAACTGTGGGAGGCAGGGGTCATTCCCTCCATGTGGTTCCCAAAACCTCTCAACCCCAGGCCCATTCCTGCCATGAACTTGGACCCTGTACAAGTGAAGCTATTGGGACATAACACTATTTTTAGAGGCACAAAAGGCTAAGAGGATATAATGTCTTCTCCCTCCTGGGGTGGGAAGAGGGGTCTGTGCCAAGGCCATGCCGGGAAAGGTCCCCGAGGCTGCAGCTGAGAGGGGAGAAGTGCTCCCATAGGACAGCCTGACAAAGGGCAGAACCCAGGGCTGGGCAAGGGGTCACTGGCGCTTCTTGCCAGGCTGGCCCTCAGGGCTGCCAGTCAACCGTGTGGGAAGGGGTGCCTGGGAAGGCTTCGGCCGGGGCCCTCTCTCCTGGGCCTCAGCCGGGATGTCCACAGGTTCTGCTCATTTCTTCTCAGCGTCCTGGAGAGGAACGCTGCCCCTACCTGGCTGTGTAACCTTAGGCAAGCTGTGTAACCTCGCAGCCTCAGTTTCCCCACTTGTGAAACAGGGGAGTTTTAGTAGCATCTATTTAAAAGGCAAACAGGGAACTCAATCAGCAATGGCTGTGAAGGAAAGCTTTTCTTTTCCCAGGTTCCCGGCTATAAACTGTGTGACCTGAAGTAGGCCATGTAACCTCTCTGAGCCTTAGTTTCTCCACGAACGGCCTCCATGGTCCCCGAGCTCTGGACCCTGACTGATCAGGGCTGGAATCCAATTCTGCCCTTAGTGGCAGCAGGACACTGGGCGGGTCACTGCACCTTTCTGCACCCGCTTCTCACCTGTCCAGTGAGAATGCTGACAGGATCCACCTGCCCTGTTATCATGAGGACTGATTCAAAGGACTCACGCAGAGAGCCGGCGCATAGTCAGCCCTCGATTAATGCTACTGTTATTATGACAATTACTATTACTTTCCCACTCGGGAGAGCAGATGCTGGAAGAGGAGGGAGCCAAGCAGAATTGCTGGCTGCCAGCCTGGTTCTGCCTTTCCTGCAAAGCCTGTCTTCCAGAAAGAGAAGGAACGAGAAACAGAAAGGAGGGGCGTGTCAGGAGGGTGGAGGAGGAGTGGATGGGTGGCAGAACCTGGAAGTGGGCAACAGCACGGGCAGAACCCTACTCACTCGTTGGTCATCTGCACCACCTTCTCGATGGCGGTGTAGCCGGCCGCCAGGAAGTGTTCTGTGTACTGCTGCATCTTGATGGACTCCAGCCACTCGGGCACTGTGCGGAAGGGCACCCCCTCTGAGCCGCTGGTGCTGGGCAACCGGATGGACACCCTACAACAGGAATCACCCGTCCTCGGGTCAGGGGCTGCAGCACCCAGCCCTCCCTGGGCCCTGAGCCTGGGCAACTCACCCAGCTGCCCTGTGCCTCAGTGTCCCCATCTGAGCAATGGGAAAGCCAAGTCGGGTAGGTTCAGGGAGACAGCCTGGCACATCGGGAGCACTCAATGTTTATAGCTACTGCTGCCTCCTCTACCCCGAATGACCACACCCCCACCAATAACCAGGAGAAGCAAAACATTGGGAGATTCAGGTTCCTAGAGTCATAGTCCCAGCCTGGCCACCGGACAGCACATAAGATACTTAACTATTCGTCATCTACAAAAGGGGGATAATTACAGGACCCATCGGCAAGTTGTTTAAATGAGTTGAAACATGTTAAGTGCTGAGCGCAGTGCCCGGCACACTTATCACACACGTTGACTGCTTCCGTTAATGTTACCTGAGCCAGCCCCTGGCCAGTCTAAGTAAAGCCCATGCATAAGTTGAGCCCCTCGCCCACTAGCCCTGACTGGTCACTACTCAGAAGTGGCTCAGGAGTATAACTGGGGGCCGCCATGGGTGGAGGGCATGGGACTCACCGGGGGTCAAAGTCAGCCAGGGTCTTGAGAGATTCAGGAGCTCGGATGAGCTTGTCGAGGATGCTGACGATGTCCGCGAACTTGGGGCGGCGGGCGCGCTCCTGCTGCCAGCACTGCATCATGAGCTGGTAGATGGCGGAAGGGCAGTCCATGGGCGTGGGCAGCCGGAAGCCCTCGTTGATGGCTTTCATCACCTGGTGGGGGAGCAGGATGGTCAGGGTGCTTTCACAACCCCCAAACCCACGCAGGGCCCCTGGCAGCCCGAGTTCACGGAAGTGGGCAGAGGAGGGAAGGGGAGCCCCAAAAACAGACAAGATAAGCCTCTTTTCTTGAGCCCTACACACAACGTTCAGAGCTGCACAAAGGGCAAGTGCTAAGGGGCTGTCTCCAGAGTTCCTGAGCCTGCTCCCTCACAGGACACCCCAGGCAGCAGCCACGCTGCTCCCCCTCCCCCCGTCTCTGGATGTCTATACAAGCTGCCCCCTTCAGCTTGAGTGCTCTTCCCCTCCTTGTCTTTACCTGGCTACCTTACTGTGCTTTGTCTCAGCAGAGATGTGACCTCCCCCGGGAAGCCTTCCAGACCTCCGGACCGTGTGAGGCACCATGCATGTGCACACACACATGCATTCATTCACAGGCGCATGCACATATGAATGTACACGCATGCACGCACACACAGATACATACATGCACACGCAGGTTTCTTTCTACACACACACACACACACACACACACACACACACACACACACACACATTTCTTGGTCCTTCTACTGACTGTAGGCAGGGACTGGGTCTAGAATCCAGCACAAGGTCTGGCCCTCAGTAATCTTTTACTGAATGAACCCATGAATGGTCCGTACCAGATACAGATTAACCCCAAACTTCTCTGCTAGCCCCTGGGAATCAGGAATGAGTAAAGGGTTCAGGTCCAGGGCAGGCCTGGCAGGGCAGCGGGGCTTACCTCGTGGTTCGACAGCTCCCAGTAAGGCCGCTCACCATACGTCATCACCTCCCACATGACGATGCCGTAACTCCACACATCACTGGATGAGGTGAACTTGCGGTAGGAAATGGCCTCCGGGGCGGTCCATCGGATGGGGATCTTGCCACCCTGCAGGGGACCCAGGAGAGTCACCGCTGTCCCCTCTGCTCAGCCCGAGGACTACTGTAGCTAGGTCAGGTATCACGATTGGAGCCTCTCTTCCGTGCTCCCTACAGGTGTTCTTGCGCCCTGAGGTCCACGCCCCAGGCGTGCAGGTGCGAGGACCCCAGAGCAGGGTGAAGGCCCCCCACCCCTGCAGTGACAGCCCCCTGGCACTCACACTGGTGGTGTAGGTGGCCTCAGGGTCATCCTCTAGCACACGGGACAGGCCGAAGTCAGACACCTTGCAGACCAGGTTGCTGTTGACGAGGATGTTGCGGGCGGCCAGGTCGCGGTGGACATAATTCATGTTGGCCAGGTACTTCATGCCGGCCGCGATGCCCCGTAGCATGCCCACCAGCTGCAGCACGCTGAACTCGCCGTCCTTCTCCTGCTGGATCACAGGCCTCAGCCACCAGCCAGCCCAAGCCCACCAGGGCACCCCCGGTCTCACCGCCATAGGTCCCGGCCCATCCCGGCCCACATGCTTACCCGAAGGAACTTGTCCAGGGCCCCGTTCTCCATGTATTCAGTGATGATCATCATGGGCTTGTCTGCAGGGGTGGACACAGGTGTAAGGGGATGACTGTAGTTGTAGGGGATGGCGCAGGTGGGGGTGGGCACAGCTGTGGACAGAGCTCCTGTTCGGTAGCCCTAGTGGGCAATCCCTCTCCACCCCACTGTGGGTCAGGCCCCTGAGGGTCCCCCACCCCCACCTCTGGTGACAAGCCTCACATTTGGAGACGACGCCCTCCAGGCGGATGATGTTGTGATGGCTGAACTGGCCCATGATGCTGGCCTCGCTGAGGAAGTCCACCCGCTGCTTCTCAGTGTAGCCAGCTTTCAGCGTCTTGATGGCCACAGGTACCTCCTTCTTCCCTGATGCCTTCAGTGTCCCCTTGTACACCTCCCCAAACTCTCCTGCAGGCAGGCAAGGTGGGAGGAACACCCTAGTCAGCCTGGGCACCAGGTGCTCCCAACTGCACCAGGCCACTTGGCAGGCGCACCAAACTCACCTGCTCCGATCACCTTCTGCCGTGTGACACAGGACGGATGGATCTCGGTGGTGAACTTAAGCACAGCCTGGTTGGGGTCCTCGTATGTGTGGGGGTCCACATAGGTCTTCAGGGGCTTCAGTTGTTCTGAAAGGGGGAGGAGGGGCTGAGTTACAAACAGCTCAGGGAGGGTCCCTGTAAGGGGCTGCCCCAGAGGAGGAAGAGGTCGTGACGTGACCGGGAACCAGGAGACCGAGACCAGGCTGCAGGGCATAAAGCTTTGGCTCAGCCCCTTTGGGCCACCCCGGGAAGCCCTGAGAGTGTCCTGGCTGCCCCGGATTCCACTGCAGAGCTAAGGAGGCCCATGGGGACAGCAGGGACAGGCAGAAGGGGCTGCAACTCACCCGACTTGGAGAAGTAAACGTCCTCTGAGGACTGGCGGGTCCGCAGGCTCTTTCTCCTGAGAATCCCACGGGAACAAAACACACAGGGAGGTCAGTGGCCGGCTCTGGCCAGGAGCCTCCTGACCCTGCTCTGGTCCTGAGTAGGGGCTCGGTGTGCTCTGCACTCTGCTCAGTTGGCAGAGGGCGTGGGGAAGGCTGGGGTGGGGTGGAGAGGAAGTGAGCAAGCGGGCTCACTCCTTGGGATCTGCACCCTGTCATGGCCCTAATGAGGGCTTTCCTCAGCAGGACTTCCTAGAGCTTCCTGCCTGCGTGTCCAGAGGAAGTGTGGACACACAGTTAATAACGGAAGCAAAGTTAGTAACTGCTCCGTCCCGAGCCCCCACGGCACGCCAGGCACTATGCTGAGCACTTTATAGTTCACTGCATCTTCATGCCCTCAGGAGGCAGGGATTAGATCACTATCAGCCCATTTTCCAGACAGGAAACTGAGGTTCCCACCCCTCTGCATCCCACCTGAGCCCTTGCAGAGCCCGGGCGTGGGTTCCAACAAACCTGCGATGGATGAAGAGGCCGATTCCTACCAGCACCAGAAGCATGACAACGCCAACGGCCACCCCACCAATCACCGCCATGTTGCCAGATCCTTCCGTGGCTGTCAGGGGAGAGCAACCGATGACAAGGAAGCCACCCCCTCTACATCATGGTAACACCTCATCCTGCACCCAAGGCCCACTTTAGGGACGCAAGAGACATGCTGGGTGCTTTTACTTGTGATGGTTCATGAGGATCTTTATTCTCATTTCACCGATAGTCAATGACAGGCCTTCCCCTGAGAATACAGTAGGCTCTCCCAGGTATATGACGCCATGTGACTCTTTCCACCATACAGGATGTGAACTGGGTCTGCCACTGCCAGAGCCCATGTCCTTCCTTCTCACAACACTGCCCTGAAGGCACGTCCCTGGTCCTCCTCCCCTCAGCCCTCAACTCGGCCCCATCCCCAGGTTTGGAGCCGGCCCACACAGGGCTGCCCTAGGCTCTGGCAGACCAGGGGGGGGCATTTCTAAGTTCTTTGATCCATTTCCTCCTCCCAGGATGTCTCTGTTTCAGGGCCCTGGCCCGGCCCACACACTGGTCCCCAACTCACACAGTGTCTGGAACTCGTGCACCTTGCTGCCAGCACCCTGGCCCTCCTGCGTCAGCGCCTGCACCTGGACCAGGTAGGTGGTGTCTGGAGCCAGGTCATCCAGGGTCACAGAGAAGCCCTCAGTGCGGCGAACGTTGTAGCTATTGGAGTCCCCCTGTGGATGGCCAGCGGGTGGAGGGGCAGACAATGAGGGCAGGGCATCAGTTCAGCCCACCAGAGACCACTCTACGTTAGCAAACTCGATGCTCTGTTTACAGAGAAGGAAACTAAGGCTCAGAGAAGCGAAACGACTCACTCAAGATCACAGCCCATGACTCGGGACTTAAACCCAGGTCTGCCTGATCCCCAAGAACTGGCTCCCCCCGCACCCCGGCTATCTTGTCTAGGAATTCCAGAACGCTGTGTCTTCTCTCCCACAAATCTCTGCGGCGTTGGCCTGGCAGAGGCGGCTCTCAGGGAGAGCCCAGAGCTGTCTCCCCATCTGCAGCACGGAGCTTCTACAGACGGCTCTGCCGTGTGCAGCACCTAGGTGACCAGCTGGCCCTCTGCTCACTGCCCAGCTGGGGCCGCCCTGCCCCGCTGAGTTACCTTCTTGCGGTAGGTGACTTCGTACTTCCACACACGGCTCTGCTGAGGCGGGGGTATGCTCCAGGACACGCTCAGCGAGGTGGTGCCGCGGTCCTCCAGCGTCACCTTGGGGGGTTCTGGACACGACAGTGGGTGGGCGTGTGAGGAGCTGTCCAGTGGCCGGAGCCAGGACCCTCAGACCCGGTCCCATCCAGAGCTCAGGCTCTTTAGACCCCCACCTGGGATCCTCAACTTCCAGTTCCAGAAAACAGAGCCCCAGGACCCCCCCCACACACAGCAGGCGCATCAGAGCATTTGAGTGCATGAATGATAAACATAATAGCTGACTCTTGCCATATACTTTCTATGGACCAGGCAGGCACTGTTCTAAGGCCCTTATATATAAGAATTTATTAAGTCTTCTCAATAGCCCTGTTACTCCATTTTACAGGTGAGGAAAATGAGGCTTAGAAAGGTTAGATAACTTGCCCCCAGTCACAGAGCTGGCAAGTGACACCAGAGGCTGTGCTTTTAACCACTAGCGGCTGCCTCTCTCTGAACACAGCCAAGCCCTGGGTGGCCATCTTCTTGAAGTCCCACCTGGGCGACAGCCGCCCCCACCGGGCCCCTCACCTGTCTGGTTGATGCTGACGCTGGCGGTGCGGAAACTGCGGCTGGTCACCAGGTCTGAGACGCCGTTTCGGGCCTCGACGGCAAAGGTGTAGTTCATGTGGGGCTCCAGGTCACTCACTGTCACACTGGTGCGGGTGAGCACACCCGGTGGCTCGGAGTAGTGCACGCTGTCCTCGCAGGGCCTGCACTCGCCTGACTCAGGCAGGCATTGTTCGCAGGTGACCCTGTAGACGATGTCCTCACGGCCCCCGTTGTCCTGGGGGGGCTTCCAGCGCAGCTCCACTTTGGCACCCATGCCCACAGCTGTGAGGTAGCTCGGGGCGGAGGGTGGGCCTGCACAGAGGGCAGAGGACAGAGCTCAGATCCAGGTAGCCCTGGACATGTCAGCCACCACACCACGCCCACCTCAGTCACCCTCCTCGACCCACTGCAAACTCACGTGTGCAGGGCATTGACAGCAGGTCCTCCGGTGCCCGGAAGTAGCCTTCCTCACACTCACAGTCGGTGGCCCCCTCTGGTGAAGGCAGGGTATGTGCAGGGCACTCCAAACAGGGGCTCTCAGACACGTCGGACTTGAAGAATCCAGGTGAGCAGGCTGGTGGGCACAGAGACAGACATCAATCAGTTCAACCAGTTCCTACCCCCAAGCAACTTTTCCACTCCCTGGCCATGGGATCCCAGGCAAGTCGCTAGCCTCTATGGGTCTGTTTTCTCACTGGTAACATGGCAAGCACATAGCTCACACCAGGCACCCAGGAAATGCCTCATCCACGTGCTCCAAACCTTTGCGTCAACCCCCACCGGCTCTTGGCAATAAGCGCCAGACCCCCGAGCCTGGCCGTCGAGGCCCACGTCTCACTCTTCAGCTTCCTAAGCAATCCTGTCTCACACCTGGCTGAGTACTGGACGGAGCTGTGTCTCCTTTAATCTGTGCAGACCAGCCTGAAGGGTCCCCACCTGGACTTTGAGATGCCAAGGGAGGTAACTGCGTCTCCTTCACCGTTTGTGTTTGGTGATAATTATCATCAGCATCTCATCAATCAGGCGCACCGGCTCAGGATGCTACCCCTGCAGGTGCTCCCCCCGCACCCCAAGACCCGACCGCCTTCCCGTTCCGGGGCTGGCCGACCAGGAAGCAGGAAAGGCCAGGCCTCTAGCATGTTCTCCAGATCTGCTTCCAGGAATGAGTCATTTCCACCACTCACAAGGGCAGCCAGGAAGCAGCTTTTCCTCCCCTGGTGGCAGGTCCCATCCTGGCCAGGCCGGCTAGCGGCTCAGGCACCTGACTCCAGAGCCTTCTTCCTCCCACCGCCTTATCCTGCCCCTGACCCAAGTCCCTTCCTGGCCCCACAGGCAGGAAGCGGCCCAGACACAGGGATCACTGCGCAGGGCTGTCCACGGCTTGGGCAGCTGCTGAATTAGCCAGAATGGGGTAGGCTCACCCTAGACACATCTTGCACAACCCCGCAATCACTGCCCCCCTCCTTCAGCTTCATCTGTAGAGAAGGTCGTGAGACACCTCCAACCTCAGTGCCACATTCATCAAACGCTTTCCAATCTTCTACTCTGTGCCCGGCCCTGTGCTAGGCGCGGGCCCTAAGATGCACCAAAGCCCCTGAACACAGGGAACAGGAGCAAGTGACAGCATCTACCATAAAGGGGTGAGCAAAGGGCTGAATGGGCGGAGGCAGCCTTGGCCAGAGGTCTGAAGAGTCACAGAGGGGATATTTCGGCTAGGGCTTAGAGGCTGAGTGGGAGTTCAGCAGGGCGGATATATTGGGAGGAGTCAGGGGTGAGAAAGAGCAAAACTAACACAGAAAGTATGAGTGGCTTTTGTTGATGAGTGGGCACAAATGATGGGGAACAGCAGGCAATGAGGCTGAGAGGTTTCCAGGAACCAGATTGAGAAAGGCCTTTAATGCCAGGCCAAGGAGCGGGGGACTCTATCCTGAGGGCAATGAAAGTCATTGAAGGTCTGATGCAGAGAAAAATCTTGGACCAACTCTCCCTCCTGTCCAGTCCCTTATGGGAGCAGAGGTGGAGGAGGACTCAAAGGACACCAGTTCCTTCAGGTCTTGGACAGCGACTTCCTATTAATGACTCTGCTTGCAGAGAGGGCTCCCAGGCCACCCCAGCAGCCTCTTTCACCCCCTCCGCCTGTCCTGCGGTTTCCTGCACATCAGAACCTCTCAGCACAAGCTCTGAAAGAACTCAGGCACACGCTGTAGGGAAGGGCCCTTGCCCAGGACAGAGGGAGCCTGGGACCTGACTCCTGCTCTGTGCAGTCTGGAGCCCCAATCAGAAACAGTGACTGCTGATTAAGCCGCTACTGTGTGTAGCTCCTGGGCGAAGCACTTGACATTCATTTAGCCCTCACAATGAGCCTGTTGGGTATACGCGGGCACAGTTATCATCCATTTCTCTTGGGAGGTGGGGGAACTCATGCGCAGAGAGGCTGTAAAACAACTAACTTGTCCAAGGTCAGCAAGTTCCTTAAGACACAAAACCAAAACCTGAACCCAGGATGCCTGACTTTGAGCCCTTTCCCAAGAGCATCTCAATTTGGAGCAAAGAGGAACCAACGTTCTGGAACAAGCCCTAAGAGAGAGGAAGTGGGTTCTGGTCCACTTCAACAGGCAGAAAATCCCAAGACTGATTTCAGAGCAGCTGGGTGTGTCTGGGGTGGGGGAGGCTCCTAACACAGGTCTTCTCACACTGAGCACACTTATGTCCTAGGGGAAGAAAAAAGTGGAATCAACCCCGGGAGCGGGGTTGGTTGGGGTGGCCAAAGTGGCCTCCTTTAAACCCCAAAGGTCCTCCAAATCTCCTACTGTATTTAAGAAATCCACGTGTATTTTGCATTCCTCCTCCTATCTCTTACAATCCAAAAATAGCTCTCTCCTCCCCCAAATCGTCAAGTAAAAATGAGAAAGCTGGGCCTTGTTTATCCTGGGATTTCAATTCCCCCGGATGCCCTGACTTGTCCGCCGAGGGGCCTACTTGTCCCCGGTAAGTGCTGGCTCTAGGAGGTTCAGGCCCAGCAAAGTTGGGGTACTCAAGGACCCCTAGAATCACAACTGCACATTCCCAGCCCAGGCTCTCAGTCTGGGGAGGGGACCACAAGCCCCCACAGCTCAGGTTTGCTTCTGCTGAAGGCTTTAGCCACCTGCAAACCCCCATATGGTCCCCACTCCACACCACGTGGCTGCTGCTTCCCAGCCCCCCAGCCCCGGAGCCCTATGCCAAGAGGAGGAAGTGGGCAAAGAGTCGGGTTCTATTCTTTGGCCCCAGAGCCCCGGGGTGGCCCGCCTGCTGCCGGCAGGAAAGGGAATTTGGAGAGATTTCCGCTGCGGATGTGCCAGATAATACAGTGAAGAGGCAGCGTCAACAGGGCCTGTGCTTGCCTGACGAGAATGTGTTGCCCCCTTCTCCAACCACAGAACTCCAAGGGGCTGCCCCCGGGGCCCCGCCAGAGTGTGCCAATGCTCAGGGGCCCCAGAGTTCATTTGTAGGACACCAGCAAGCTCCTATGTCTTCCTGACTTTGCCTGATTGGATTTCCTGGCATTCTGGGCAGGCAAGTGGGGACAGGGGTCACACACTAGGTGTTCACATATACTTAACACAGCCACATACACAAAAGACTCACTGTCCCTTAGCCAACCAGCAAACTCCTATACATCCTTCAATACCCAATTTGTATATTGTAGAGCTCCTTTACACAACCCTCCCAGACTGTCTAATTTCTGGCCCCCTTCTGCCCCATTAGGGCATCTATTACTCAATCCTATGTTTACCAAATAAAAATTGAGCACTTCCTACATTCTGACACAATGCTGAGTGCTGGGATCTGATGGAGAGATAAACACCGGTTCTGCTCCGGGGGAATTTACAGACTGGCTTTTGTGCTCCATTTAAAGTTGTTTCTACACATATTAGGAGCCTCTATGAGACTGGCAGCTCCTGGAGAGCAGGAATGGAGTCCGGTTTATCTGTGTCCCATGGCCCAGCATAGGGTCTGGCATGCAATAGGTGCTCAGTTAATGTTTGTGGACTGGATGGATGGATGGATGTGTGAGAAAGTGCCAAAACCTACAACATACTAAGCATATTAAACAAAACATATTAAACACACACTCTCGGGCCACAGACGTGAGCAGTGTTTCCTATGGGGATGACACACCAGGATACCCACCTGCCTGGCACAAGAGCCTGGCTTTGGCACACCTGTGGAGAGCTTCTCTGGCCCTGGTCCCTGGCAGGCCCGGACCACTCCAAGCAGGGGAACTAGGGCACAGTGGCTGCACCCAGGGCTGCACCCCGGTTTTTCCAGTTCCTGGTGCCCGCCCCTCAGGTAGAAGCGTGGGGTGACTCAGAAACAGACGCCCTCTGGCATGACGCAAATTCAGCCCCTGGCAGAGCCCCTCTCCCCAGGCCCAACCACCTCCCAGGCCAGAGGTGGCGAGGTCAGAGGATCAAGAGGTCGCGGTGGCAATGGGCCTGGGGCCAGTCACCTCCCCAAGCAGTGCCCAGCTGGTGACCACGCACACCGCCTCAGCCTAAGGATGTGGAGCATGGACTTTGTCTCATGCCGTGACAGGCAGAAAACGGCAACCCATAAGTTACCGACCCAGCAAACGAGGGCAACTGATAACTCCAGGCCCTGGTGGCGTCTTGCTCCCCAACAGGCCATCATCCCCACAGAGGCTGGCGTCTCCAAGGCCCGATTGCTGCCGGCACCTTGCCCTTTCCACACACGCCCTGGGGAATTATCTTGGGGCACATTCCTCCACCAAGCCATGATAAGCGCGGCTCCCACAAACCCTAGCCTCCCCACCGCCTGCTCTCTCCCTACCACCAGCCTTTTATCTTTTGTTTGCTTTCCCTAGCCTCCTTCCGTTCTGGGGACCCACTCACCTCCACCTCCGGGGAGGGAGGGACAGAGGGGCCTCCCCAAGGAGCTGCCAGCACCTGAATTTGCCCCCAGTATGAGCTGAGGGTGGGGCAGACCTGGCATGGAGAGGGAGGTCCCCATGCCCCCCACGCCTGCAGGCCAGAGGGAACTCTACAAAATTGAGGCCAGGTGGCACTCCCCAGGGAGGGGATAAGTCCAAGGGTCAAGAGCACACAGAGCCCCCAGCGTCATGTCCTGACAAAGCAGGGCCTCTACCAATAGCCCGTCGCAGCCCAGGGCCACCCTGCCTAAGACCCACCTTTACCGGAGCCATCTCCTGCCCAGGAGACGCCTCCCCTTCAGCTATGGACCCAGGGTTAGGCTTCGGCCACTCAGGATGCCAGCGCTAGGACCCTACTCCTTGCCACATGTATTGAGGTCACGTGGTCAACCGTCTGCCAGAGCAATCCAGGTTCTCAGACTGAACCACAGCAGAAAGTGACAGGAGGTAGACCCCGATCACTGAGACCAAGAAGGGACTCACCAAGGTCACACAGCTTGTGGGTAGGACACACATCAGGGGCAAGTAGAGACAGTATACTGCCTTTCTCATGCCAGACCCCAGCTCCTTTGGTCACTAGTCACTGTTTCCTCTCTCTGTGCCTCAGTTTCCTCACTTGTAAAGTGGGGATAATGTCCTCAGCCTCTCTGGGTTGTTTGTGAAGATGAAAGAAAACTTGTGGAATGCTCAGCACGGTGCCTGGAATGGGGGGTCCCTATGAACTGGGGATAGAAAAACTAGAGTAGAGAGGGGACATTCCTAAGTGGCTGGGCCACTTAAGGGAGCAGGAACCTCCAAGGAGGGAATTCCCAAACCCCCAAGGCCCCCACCTCCAGCTCTGGCCTCGCAGCTGCTGGGCTGAGCCTCTGGCCAAAGCCACTGGCCACCTGCTCACCTGGCTGGCAGTCCCCATGGCTGAGGCGCCAGCCAGGGCCCCACCAGCTCAGCTGCCGATGCCAGCACAGGAAGCAGAGACGAACAGGGAGACAAAGCCGCCCCTGGGGAGATGCCGGTCAGCCTGAGTGACTCCACTGTCCCCCAGGCAGGGCTGGGTGGAGAGGGGGTGGGGGTGCCGCAGTGAAGCTGGCTCATTCCTGACATAGCTCACGAGAGCTCTCCCTGGGCAGTGTGCCCACCTGTCCAACACAGCACCTGCGAGGTGCCTCCCTTCCATTGTCCATTTAACTCTTTCCTGAGTTCTGAGCTTCCTGGGGAAAGAACCCTGAAGAGAAACGAACTCAGAATAACCTGGACCAGGTGCTGGGTGACCTCAGGGTACCTACGCCCCCTCCCTGGGCTCAGTTTGTCATCAGTAGAGGCCCCAGTGGGAGAATCTGGGTCTACAGCCTCGTGGAATGTCAGGCAGTTGGGGGCAGACCCTGCACCTTCCTCCATTTCTCCCTCACCATGCTCAGTAACGGCCCTGCAATCGCCCCACCTCCTGTACCAGGACCTGCTATCCTGGGGCTGCCCTGAGAGCCCGTCCCAAGGCCAGGAGCTGAGTCAGGGATTCCAAAGGAACTGGTCATTTCCCACCCCGTTTCCTGACCCCTCCTCCAGCCTGGACACCACTGCGCGGCCTGGATTCAAATCCTAATGCAGCCGCATCTTAGCTGTGTGACTCCAGGCAAGTCTCTGAGCCTCCCTGAGCCTCAGTTCCCTGTCTGTTAAATGGGGGTAGATAACAGTGTCTGCCTCATAGAAAGGTGGTATGAATTCAGCAAGTGACAAAGCATTTGCTTAGTCCGTGCCTGCTCTCAGAGCAGAGCACTTGTCTACGGGAGTTACTATTATTCTCTCGGTCGGCATCATGGTCAGGGGCTGCTGGGAAAAGTCTGGAGGGATAAAGAGAAGCCGAGCTAGAGGTTCCCAGCCCCTAAAGCACACTGAAGGCAATTTCGGTAGAGGGGTCCCAAGGAGGGGAAAGCAGGGCGACAGGTGGCTGGCAGTTGAGAGCGTCCTACCAGTGAAGTCAAAGATTTCACTCTCGGAAACCAGTCCTCCCTACCGGGGGCCTGCTTGCCCTGCACAAACAAAGCCTGCTAGAACCCTGACCCTCCACCTCCGGGGAAGGGAAGGCTGCCCCCCCTCCTGGAGAGGACCCCCTCCCCGCCAGCCCCAACCATCCACTTATCTCTGCAGGGCCTGAATCACCAGCCTGTGGAAAGTTTTCAGCTGCCCCTCAACCCCCACCCCCGCATTCCTGTGTGAGGCTGTCATGTGGGAGGAGTCTGCCCGACCCACTGGGCTGCCTCAGCCCCCCCATCCCCCCCACCCCGCAGTCATTGTCTGAAACTGGGAGTGTGCACTCGAGGTCACCTAAAGCAGGGGCTGTCTGGGGAAAGGGGACTCACTCAGCAAAGGAGAGCTGGGAGGACAACAGGGTGGTAGGAAGGGCCAGTACTGAGATTACACCACAGGCTTATGGCCAGGAAGGCTCTTAGGGAACTTTCTCATCCAGTGGTTTGCAGGCTGTGTTAAGCAAGGTGCTGAGGATTTGTTTTAGGAGGCAAGTGGGGCCTGCCTATGAGAAAGGGCTTCAGGTTCCTCCAACCCTTCAACCCACTTCATAGGTTGTAGGATCCCTGGCTAAAATCAAAGTATAAAGTCAGCTGTTATACTTGAACTTCACACTTTATTGACAGGAAACCTGAGGCCAGAGAGAAAGAGAGATTTACCCAAGGTTATCTAGTAGGTATGTGCAACTGCAGGGACTAAACCCCCAATTTCTCAATACCCCACTTAGCAAAGAAGCTCCCAGAGAAAGGGGATGAGCTGGCCTTCCAAAGGTCGGCCTGCATTCCACAAATGCCCTGTCCCACAGGCGTTTCCAGAAAAAAAAAAATCATCCATTGAAAAACTCCATGTTGCTGTAGAGATTTCCACTGTCACAGACCTTGGCGGTACCAAGCCACAGCCTCCCAACGTGAGCTTACTAATGCCCAGGCCCATTCCCAGAGAGAGTCTAATTTAATTGGCCCCCCTTCTCTGGGCCCAAGTCATCCTCAGTAGAAGCCCCTATGGAAGGAACTGGGTCTACAGTCCTGGGGAGGGTCACACGGTGGGGGGTGGCGGGGTGGGGGCAGGCCCTGTGTCTCACGCAAGATTTTTCAAAAGCTCCCCAGGTGATTCTCATGTGCAGCCAGGGGATGTGAACCCTGGGTCCAATTCACTCCCTTCCATTCACTCCACAAAAGAGGAGCCTGAGACGCAGAGAGGTTGAGTGACTTGCCTCAGGTGCATTAACACCGTGAGGTAACAGAGATGAAACTCACTCCTGGGACTGTACCAGGTGTCCAGAGCTGGTATACAGTAGATACTCAAGACATTCTTGTGGGATGAATCAAAAATAACAACCACACTTAAAAGCACTTATGTGTCAGACACTGATCTAAGCACTTTACAAGCATTAAGTCATTTGATTATCATAAGACTCTATGAGATGGACACTATGTTCATGTCCGTTTTACAAATGAGGAAACCCAGGCACTGAGAGTTTAAGGAACTGGCTTAAAGTCACACAGCTAAATATAGAGCCAGGTTTTGAAGCCAGGCATTCTTGTCCTCGAGTCCTTGCTCATAACCTCCATACCATACTGTTTCTCAATGCATTCGTTCTCAACGAACTAGTGAATCCAGTCATAAAGAAACTGAAGTCCTGTGATTTCCACGGACAGAACCACTGCACATCAGAGCAGGGACCTTACCCCACAGTCCCAGAACTGAGACTAGGGCCTGGGAACACAGCCTTCACCCCAGTACCCCCTTTCCCTGCCACCCCTGTACGGTCATCACTCACCCTGGCAGGCGTTCTCCACCTTCTCATATCCCTCCTGGCACAGGCACTGACCGATGGGCACTAACCACTCGCCGTCGACCGCGCAATGCATGCGGGGCTCTTCACCCCCAGGTGGCACTTGAGCGTGGTCCACGCAGGTGCCAGCCACGGTGGCCAAGGACGGTGCGTCAGAGCCTGCGATGGTCTCAGGGAAGCGGGCCAGACCCTGCAGGAGCTCGGGGCATTTCTTGTAGTAGACGCGGACAGAGAGCAGTGCCACACAGGCACCAATGTCCTGGAAGGCCAGGTAGAAGCCCTTGCGGCTGAGGGGTCCCACAGAGCGCTCCTCCACATTCAGCTTCACGTGGCGGGCCTCAAAGTCACTGCTGACCGTGATCTCGTCAGGGGCGATGGTGTCGATCTTGGTGAACTGGCGCTTCTGGAAGTTGGTGCCATAGTCCACGTCCGACTCGGCGTAGTAGAGGTTGAAGGTCTCCTTGCAGGAGCTGGCGCCCCCGGGGAAGCTGTTGCAGTCACGCACGGTGAACTTGAGCTCGATGAAGATGCGCTCGGCCTCCTCTCGGTACACCCAATTGGTGCGGAGCCAGTTGTCCTGGTCGCCAGCCACCACGTTGCACACCGAATACATGTAGATGGGCTTGTCGTCCATGATATTCTGCATCAGGTCCCACTGCACGGGGCCGACAGGACAGTTAGTGTGGGCAGGTCCCAGGGGGAAACTGAGGCCCAGCAGCAATGCCCAGGGGGCAGAGCTGGGCATCAGGAAGACGCTTTTCAATTCCTGCTATCCTCTTTCTACAGGGAAGGGAACTGAGGCCCAGAGCGGGGATTCATGTCACCCCCACACGCTACAAGTGCTGAGCTGGAAGCTGTCCCCCTGGCATTTCTGACCCCCCAATTGTCAGGGTGCAGAACTCCTGTGTTAGGCTGTGAGCCGGGGGGCAGAGACTGGGAGCTTCGTGTGGCCTCAGGTGGATCGCTGAAACTCACTGATCTACCTCAAAGAATTGCTATGAGGATAAACTACAGAAAGTCTACAAAATTCTGAGTACTCTGCCCGGCAGGGATAAATGAGACAGCTGTTGTACAAGGCAGCTGGTACCATCATACCATCACCATCATCACTGCTCACCGGGCCTGCATGTGTGTGTGTGGTGGCAGGTGAAGAGGTAAAGTCAGAAACAATGGATGGTCCCTCATCGTGTAGATTTTGGTTTGGGGACGGATCAGTGCATATTCTTCCCTGCTCAGAACATAGCTCAGCCTCCTCCAGGAAGACTTCCCAGGTTGGGCCAAGATTGGGCCAAGTGCCCCCCCTCTGCTTCCACAGTCTCCATGTCCCCTTTGTCACTGCACTTGGCACCTATGTGGTGACCCCTACATCTGCTCCCACACTAGATTCTGAGCTCCTTGGGGAAGGGAGTATGTCTAATTCCCTTCTGTATCCCCCAGGAACTGCCTAGAACTGTGTAGGTGCTCAGGAAAGTATTTGTTGAATGAATGAGTGAATGAAAGAATGAAAGCGGAGGAGCTGAGGCCTGAGCTGCACGGTGTGACACTGGCCAAGGCCTCAAATGCCCTTGGGCTTCAGTTTCCCACTCTGTATAATGACCAGGTTGGATTAGATGATCTGTGTTCCCTCCCAGCTGGACGTTCCAGGATTGTGGAAATCCACTAGAGCTACACCCAAACCTCCTCAAAGCTAAAGGAACCAGGGACAAGCACCTAACTTATGCAGATCCGGCCAGCAACGGGAACTGTCCAAAGTAGCCCCCTGGAGACACACTTCTCCCAGGTCAGGGGCCCCAGAGCAAACTCAGCAAGGACCTATTGTGCAGAGGAGGAAACTGAGGCCCAGAGAGCAGCAGTTTCTTCCCTAAGACCAAACGGTAATCATGCTCAAAGTCAGGGAAAGGACCCCCGTGTCGCCCACCAGTCCTGGTCAGAGCAGGTCAGAGCAGAGGGGAGGAAACTTGCGTGGGGATGAGGTGAAACAAACTCAGTCCTGAGCAGGAAGGGGAAGCAACAGCTGCGGGGGCAGAGAGAAGGGCCCAGCAGGAAGGAAAACTGATCGAGGTTTTCCTGGGGCTGTGAGCACCTGAAAGCACTGTTCCCTGTCTCTCCCTCACCACTCACCTGGGCTGGGACCTGGAAGACAGGGTGAGCGTTTAATCCCATCCCTCCCAAGAGGGAGATGGAGGGACCCAGAGGGGGGCCCCCTGACCATCAGCTCCCTGGATCACCTTCTAATCCCCAGCCCACTCCACGTGGGATGGCCGTGAGCCCAGTGTGAGGAGCAGGACCCTGAGCTTGAACCCTGGCTGAGCTGTTTGATCTAGGCCGGCCCCATCCTCCCTGGGTCTCAGTCTCCCCATCGCCACGTCTCCGCCCAACCTGAAGGCTTACCCCTTTGCCATATGGGTGTGTGAGCCAGCCGAGTTCCCCTTTAGCTGCAGCAAAATCCAACAGTGCAACTGGAAGAGACAAGAGAGGAGGCCGGTGAACTTGGGGGTATCTCCAGGGGTCAGGCCACAGTGGAAAAGGTGAGAGACCCCCCCCAGGAACCCCAAGAGGCCTTGACGGCTTCCTCAGCCCTCAGAGAGTGACCCCACTATACCGGGTCACCATATCCAAGAGACCTGTCCCTCAACAGATAGGGAAACAGAGGCCTAGAGAAGGGGTGGGATCTAGTCAAAGCCACAGAGCAGGTTGGGTGAGGTCTAGGCCTCTTGTCTTCCAAGCCACGACTCCAGCCATGCTGCCCCCTCGGTCAGATCCCAGCTGGGCAGAGCAGGACAGAGCTCAACCCAGTGGGGGAACAGCAGCTGGACAGAGAACTGGGGCTGGCAGGGTTGTTAACCATGCCACCCTGTCTGCTTCCTGGAACAAGGTCCTTTGGCAGGACTTCACTTGCACATGGGCCTTGGGGGCCCTCATGTCTACTCCTGCCCCGTCTCCCCCAGCATGAAATACCCCCAATCCCACCCAGCCACGTAGCACACACATATGCTCACACATATGTACGTACACACGTCTCACGGCACTCCAAGGAGAGAGGGCTCTTAACAGGTGGGAACAGCTCCAGCGAGGGGAGGAGGAACCAGTGGGGGGTGTCTGGAAACTGATCTTCCCACCACAAAAGCCACAGAGCAGGCGGGATGAAGCCCTGAACCCACAGGGGCCTCTAGGAGGGGCCCAGAGATTCCCACAGCTGGCTAGGTCCCCTCCCTGGGGAAGTCGCTCCCGCTGCCCCTGTCCCTCACACCCTGGCTACTGCCCTGTCAGGGGTGCCTGTGGGACA